GGATGCCCTCGGTATAATTACAGGCATTCCTCCTCTATCTATTCTGATAGAAAAGGAGGCCTGCTGGAGCTCCATACGGCTGCCCAATGTAATCAGCATGAAGAGTGGAGATCTTTGGGGTCACTTGGAGGTTCTCAAGCCTTTTCTGGATGATCCCGCTTTCAAGCTCACAGATATCATGCTACCGAAATTATCCTTTGATAAGCCCTACAAGGTCAGAATTCCTGAAAGGGACTGCTGTAAAGCGATAATATCTATGATTGACAAAGGGTTCCAAGTATGGTATACCGATGGATCAAAGATGGAAGACGGGAGTACTGGGGCAGGCGTGCTTGGACCAAGGTTCCAGAAAAGTCTGCCAATGGGCTCATACCCAACCATATTCCAGGCGGAGATCTTCGCAATCGAAGTCTGTGTTCGAGAATGTCTTCGGAGAAGGACAAACGGGGCCAGAATAAATATTATGTCGGATAGCCAGGCAGCACTAAGGGCCTTAGACTCATTTAAAACGACATCTAGGCTTGTGGACAGTTGTAAAACTCTTCTGAATAGCCTAGGAGCCCATAATAGAGTTACGCTGTGGTGGGTCCCTGGGCATGAAGGGTTTGAAGGCAACGAAAGGGCTGACTATCTCGCAAAACGTGGGGCCCAAACGCGAATGCATGGTCCCGAGCCTTTCTGTGGTACATCTATAGGATACACTGCAGAACTACTTAGGAGTTGGGAGGAATCTCAGATTGCTGCCCACTGGCGTAAGTCAAAGGGAATGAGACAATCAAAGAAATTCATAACTCCTTCCAAGAGGAACTCAGAAAGACTCCGTGAACTCAGCCGGGAGGGTCTTAGTACTATTACAGGCTACCTGACAGGACACTGCAAGTTAAGGTACCATCTAAACAAAATGGGGCTTTCTGTAGAGACGGACTGCAGGTTCTGTGGGCTGGCGGAGGAAACCTCGGAGCACATTCTGTGTGACTGCCCGCGTATCATGAATAGCAGACTGATGCACCTTGGGGAACGATTGTCTTCTCCATCCAATATTTGGAACACGGCACCCTCCAATGTGCTTAATTTCTTGAATAACCTAAGGTTGGAGTGACTACAATCAGGGTTTAGCACAATAGATCTTTTAGGTCGCAGCGCGAGTATACCCGACGTACTAATAATAATAATAATGACTCAAGTATAGGACCATATGTGAACTGTATAACCTCCGACAATTTGACTGAACTCTATCCAGTGGGTTTTGAGTTCAGTCCGAACAACAAAACAGCTACCATTTTATGTATGTATATAGATACATATGTGTGTAGATAGGACAGTCTATAACGAAAGTCATAAAAATTTAAATTTCATACTTTGTGCAAAATTTAAAAAAATTCTTAAAAATTTCCACACAAAATTTTACCCTTGCCAAAAATTAAAAAGAAAGTAACAATCGCTCAATGCGATTTAGAAATCTAGGAGAGAATGGTTCCCAGGGATGCTTGTTTATCTATGTATATGTACATAGGTGCAGCCATTCCAATAACTATCACTTTTAAACGTGTTTTTCTATTATTTACATATATGCTCAAAACAACGTGGAGTAAGTTATTTTTGCGAATACAGTAATTTTCGTTATGTGTCGTAAGCACTTTTTGAAATGAAAGCTTGTGCGATGACATGCCCAAGTACCAAAATTTCTATACGATGAGCATTTCGCCTGGGATGAAACTGACAGATCACCTGCGATGGCTGTACGCTAATGAAGACACTAAGTAAGCAAGTTCGTTATTGACAACATATGTAGCTGTGTCAAATTTCAGGACATTAGCTTAAACAGTTGCAGGAATAAGCGTTATGAAAAGTTCAGTTTGTATGCGAGGTACCACGCCCCCTATTCCAATAACTGCCACTCTCCGTCGTGAGCATGGCATTAATAACATATATAGCTGTTTCAAATTTCAGGACGTTGCCTTAAGCGGTTCCAGCAATAAGCGATATAAGAATTTCAGTTTGTATGAGAGGTGCCACGTCCCTTTTCCAATACCTGACACTTTTCTCTGAAAGTAAGGTATTGATAACATATGTGGCTGTTTCAAATTTAGGGCGTTATGGGAGGTGCCACGCCCCCTTTTCCCATATCTGTCACTTTTCGCCATAAGTACGCTACTGATAACATATGCAGCTTTGTCAAATTTCAGGACTTTGGCATAAGCGGTTCCAGACATAAGCAATATGAGAAGTTCAATTTATATGGGAGGTGCCATACCCCCTTTTCCTATACCTGCCAATTTTCGCCATAAGTTCGTTACTGATAACATATGTAGCTGTGTCAAATTTCAGGACGTTGGCGTAATCGGTTCCAGAGAAAAGCGTTAGGAGATGTTCAGTATGTATGGGAGGTGCCACGCCCCTTTTCCAATAGCTTCCCGCTTTCGCCGTAAGTAAGGTATTTACAATTTATGCATCCGTGTCAAATTTCAGTTCCCCAGCTTAGTTGGTTTAAGAGATATATTGGTGCCCTCAAAAAAGGGGTTTCAACATTTTATTGTGATGTATGTATATGTGTAGATATCCATTAGAGGGCTGCACGAATTCATTCAAACTTCTAGCCAAACAGAGTACAATAGATTTGAATATTTTACTTCACATACAAGCCTTTGGAATTTTGTAAGTTATGAATATACATTTTGTTTTATATTTTCTACCTTCAAATGGAAGAATGTGAATGAATGAATAGAAAACATTCAAATCACCCAAACTCATTTTGGTAAAAGTTTTTTTCTACGAACAAGTTTTTTCGTATATAATGGGAGCGCAGCAATACATACATACATACATATGTATGTTTGTACATATGTGCATAGAAAAAATATTTTTGGATATTCATACAAAAAATTGTCATTTATTTCAATTCAATTTATTTTCACATTGTTTGAATATTGTAATGCCGACATAATCTCAGAACAGCTATTCACTCAAATTCAAAAAAATTTTAAGCCAAAATCATTCATTCGTTTTGTATATGAATAATTCATAAGCCGTTTTGAATGCATTCATGCAGCCCTCTAATATCCATCATGCTCCCACTGTATAAGAACGTTAGGAATATTCTTACCCCAGCGCACCCTATCATGTAATTTTTTTTAATTGGCTAACAAATGTTCTAAATATGAGACAAATCTGCAACTAAATGCGGTTTTTAGGAATATCCCGGCCCCAGCGCCACCTAGCGGTTAAATTTTTAGTCGGAATATTTCCCTTCAAGGTACTGGGATATGTTCCAAATATTAACGAAATCGGTCTAGCCGTTTGATAGTTTAGTGACATACAATATGGAAAACTCTATGAAATTGTGAAATCGTAACGTCTCAGGATTCTTCATTTTTCGGTAACAACAACAAAAAGTTTAAAATTTGTTTAAATCGAAAAACCTTCCACACAGAAGGCCCAAAAGAGGACTTTTTACAGAATTGAAATCGGTTCAACCGTTTGGTCAGGCATCGCCGTCATACGAAAAACATTTCATTTTTATATATATAGACTAGCAGACCAGACGGACTTCGTCCCGCCAAAATTAATTTGTTTTACTGGAATATTTTGGTCCAACATTTTCATCAACAATTCGCGTTCACGATTTCTAGTGATACATTTATCTGCTAGTATTACGGTTTGGTGGTTTTTAGAAGGCATATTTCCATTGTCGTCTTTAATAACCTAACGAAAATGTATGTTCGTGAAGAAGTTCTTGAAATTCTCCAATGATCTGACCTTTCACAGCACGGTTAATCGCAAAACGAAATAAATTTGAAGAACTTGTTTCCATTCACTACCTGGCAGAAACAATGATCCGGTACGATGGTGAATTTGTCCTTGAAAATGTATGGTATAGTTGGTGGTAATTTAAAAATTGGTGAGTATCGTTGTTCTACAGAAATCCAATATACACAGGGCTATCTCAGTCGAAATACCTTAAAGCTCTTATCAAGCAGCTCAATGGTTCTGATGGCAGATTTAATGCTGGTCATTTGAGATTAACCCCTGGACAACTTAATGGTGGTGTATCCGAATGCAGCTCGCAAATCACGTTCATTGGGCCCATCGCAACACACGGGAGCTCGGCATACTCGGTGGTACAGCACGTCGATGTAATCGGACATTCACGGCACTTTTTCTCACTTGAAAATTTTTAGTAACAACTCGACCCCAGCGTCAGCCGGCGGCTGTTTTTGCAACTGTATTGCCCTTACCGTTACCACTACTTAAGTATCTCGAATATAAGCCAGATGGGATCATAACTCAGATTTTTAACAATAACACCACTCCAGCGCCACCTGGTAGGTCAAACTGGGAATCTGGACAACTACGAAGAGACCTTACTCACACAAAAAAAATTTCGTTAAAATCGATTCACTCACAACACACGAACAGAAGTATTATACAGTATTATCTAGCTGGAACGAACACCCGATGCTACGAACACCTCGAAAGAGTGAACATGAAAATTTTTCCAATGAGTACTCTATAGAGTGAACAATTTTGAGTCTTTTGTAGAGTGAACAAAATTTAAAACCAATTTCTTCCAAATTCAAAACTGTAACGACAATTTTAATAACAAAAAGGGTAGTCCCGAATTGGGAAAACAGGTGTATGCTCCTATATGTTTGTCAAAAAATGCCACCGTTCACGTACATAGGTGAGCGTAAATTCCGCAGGGTTGTCACTGCTGCTGCAGCCCGCTTCATTCGAGCAGGATGCATTTCGGACCGCCGTCCGAATTTTCCTGCTGAAGCGACTGTCCTAGCCGATGAGCGTGACAACCTTCACCAGGCCGATGCCGGAGATCCCCGTATAATGGATCTCAGCTCTGAGATTCGGCAATTAGTGAACGTACATAAGCGGAAAAGTGGGAAAACCATCTGAAGACCTGTAACTTCGCCTCTGGTGTAAGCAAGCTTTGGTCAACCATGATGTCATTGTCCAATCCGATGAAGCAAGACGACAGAGTTGTGTTGAAAATACTTATGTATTTAAATATGTATTTGTATTTGTATATGTGCATATAAAATGCACTCATAAGCTTATTATACTTTATTTACCAGCTTCGCATAATTGTAATACTTATAAGCATATTCTTGATACATTAAACGGTCAGTCCACTCATAAACCTCAAACCGTCGTGTTCTTTATTCTCTCTCTACATGGTAGCAGAGCAAGGTTACTGCTGTAGTGTCGGGTGTCGGAATTAAATAAATAAAATAAAAATCAAAAGTGCAAAATCTGCTGTAATAATAAAAATAAAATAACGCTTCAAGTAAGACTTTGAATTAATATACATATACATATATATAAAATTTATAAGTGAAATTATAAGTTAAAATGGAAAAGGGTTTTGAAGTAGAGAAACTCAAAGGCCAGGAAAATTTCCACAACTGGTGTTTCGCAATAAAAAATATATTAGCATTCAAAGGTCTGCATAAGTGTATAACCGATCCTGTCACAGAAACAAACGCTGAGAAATTAACTAATTGCAAAGCCCTGTTAGCTCTAAGCGTAGCGCCATCGCTGTACGTTCACATATCCAGATGTGAAACAGCGCTAGAAATATGGCAGAAACTAAAAAATCTGTATGAGGACAAAGGCTTAACAAGAAAAATTGGGTTATTAAGAGGCCTGATCTCTTGCAGATTAGAAGACTGCGAGAACATGCAATCATACATTGATAGAATTAAAGATAATTCTAATAAATTAAATGAAATTGGTTTTGAGATAAATGAGGATTGGCTGACGGCGATAGTATTGGCTGGTTTAACTGATGCATATAAACCATTTATAATGGGAATTGAAGCATCAGACTCACAAATAAAATCAGAAACAATAATCGCTAAACTGTTGGACTCTGATACCAACACAACCACAAAAAGTGATGCATTTCTTAGTAAAAAAAGGTACGAAAATAAGCAAAAATACTTACAAAAGAAAAAATGCACAACTTGTGGAAAGAAACATGCAGGGGAATGTCACTACAAGAAAAATAATGCACAAAATGGCACAGCAAAAAATGCATTCACAGCGTTATTAACGAAAAGAAATAACGACGACTGGTATCTAGACAGTGGTGCATCGTCTCATATGACACCAAACGATAATTTGCTCACTAGCAAAAAAAAATTCACTCGTTGACAAAATAATGTCAGCAAATGGAACAGCTATGACAGTAAGTTGCGTTGGCAAAACATCACTGAATATCAACGGGCAAGAAATTGTAGTTAACGAAATTCTACACGTGCCCGATTTATCAGTAAACCTTCTGTCAGCTGCAAAAATAGTGAGTCAGGGGAATGTAATAAAATTCGATGCAACAGGCTGTACAATACTTAACAAAAACAAAGAAGTAATTGTACAGTGCAAAGCGGAAAATGGTGTTTACAAACTGAAGGGAATCCAAGCAAAATGCTTGTTATCAAAACAAACAAATAACAACGCAATGCTATGGCACAGGCGACTTGGACACATAAATTTTCAAAGTTTAAAGAAAATGCGTGACGGCGCTGTTTCTGGTATTGATTTCAATGACGACGATCATGAAATAAAAAATTGTCAGATATGTCCCAAAGGCAAACAAACAAGAATTCCGTTTAAACAAAGTAACTCAAAAACAACAAAGCTACTCGAACTAACATTCTGATCTATGTGGACCTATGGAAACGCAATCTATAGGACACGCCAAATATGTATTAATATTCATAGATGATTTCTCCCGAAAATTATTCGTTTACTTTCTCAAGT